AAGAGTTCCACAAGCTGCAGAACTTCTAGGAATATGTTCGGTGACTGTACATTGGTATATATATTATAGAACAATAGAAATAAACAATTTCTTGTATTGTTTGTTTTTGTAAACAAGTTTTGCAAACAATATATTGATAATTATGTTTGTGTGCTTATTGTGTTCTATACAATGAGTGTATATATGTACATTGCACCTTACTTTGGTCTCATAGGCCACATAAGTTATGTGAAAAAATAAAATAGTGAAAAAACAAAAAACCTTCAAATACAAGTAAACTAAAGTTTACCGGGTGAGTGGCAGTCACCGCTGTTGCCATACGTGGCTCATTTTCTGCAAACTTAACAACTCTATATCTCGGTAAGTACTGATGGCAAATTTTTTTTTTTTTTTGGACTAAAACACCCAGAAAAATAATCTTAACATTTTCATAAGAAAAAATAAATTTTTTTTTCAAATATTTTGCGACATAGAATGACAGTTTCAGAAAGGGGCCTGCGACAGTCAAAGGGTTAATCTATAAAAAAAAAATCATTTTTGTTAATACTTTTGGGTGCCTGGAACGGATTAATTGGATTTACATTATTTCTTATGGAGAAAATGGTTTCGACATTCGTGAATTCCGACTTTCGGCAGACTCTCTGGAATGGATTAATCACAAAACTCAGGGGGTCCACTGTTTTAACCCTTTCAGGGTCGGCAGGCCCTCTCCTAAACTTGTTCTCAGGGTCGAAAAAAAAAAAATTCTTATGAAATGAGAATCTTTTCCCAATCATGACACAAAAAGTATGAAATTTGATGGAAAACTTACGGAATTATGCTCTCGCGAAGTTAGCGGTCTCGATGATTTTTACACATCAGCGATTTCGCCCACTTTGAGCCCTATTTTCGGCCAATTCCAATGTATCAGTCGACAAAATTCATACCTATTTCACTAGAACTCCATTTTTCTAACAAATGAGGACAAGAAACTACCCATTTACTGATTTCAACTATCAAATAAAGTGATCAGAAATTGGCAATTTGGCCAATTTCACACACATTTCAAAAGATGCTAATTTCCAAATAGGGTCCAGAATAAACAAGACAGACACTCCTGGCATTAAAATAACATTTCCTCTGTTCATTAGTCACATCCCCAGGCCCCTCTTATATTTCTTTTGCTTTCCACTTTGAATTTTTATTCTCACAAAAAATAGAAGATTTACTGTTATGTAGACTACTGCATTAGTGTAGAAATGGTATAAATTATATCAGCGCACTTGTGAAAGAATATTAAACTCACCAGTTGACGTGTATTGGACGCATGGCATGATTTGTTTACTTTTGAACTTTGGCAAAAATTGAACATTTCTGCTACTTTGAACTTAATTTCAAGGTACTTTTCATTGTGAAACCAATCAAAATCATCTCAATTTCCGTAATATGTCTTCCATTCTATAAAATGAGACCAGAAAAACAAGAATACAACCATAAATAGCATGAAAATACACTGCAAAGTCGCTGTTTTATACCAAAAACACAGTCGGAGTTTTTTTTCTTGTTATGAACTGTGTGCTGCAGGAATTTTTTTATACTGTGCACACTGACCACATAGACCCATTCTTTCATATGTAGGCCTACCAGCGTTTCTCGCTAGATCTGAAGGTGCTAGAATTTATACGTACTAGTACGGCACCAACCCTGGCGTGGAAGCCATACTAGTACGGCACCAACCCTGAAAGGGTTAATGTGCGCCATAGCAATTATTATTATGTATTATTATTATTATTATTATTATTATTATTATTATTATTATATCAAGACTAGTGAGACACTTAGTAACTTTAATGTGTATCTGCATGCTAGAACAGCGTGTAAGTATATTTAGTTACAGGTACACAAATATTTCTTTCTTTCTTTCAACACAACGGCCGTATCCCACCAAGGCAGGGTGGCCCAAAAAGAAAAACAAAAGTTTCTCTTTTAAATTTAGTAATTTATACGGGAGAAGGGGTTACTAGCCCCCTGCTCCTGGCATTTTAGTCGCCTCTTACAACACGCATGGCTTACGGAGGAAGAATTCTGTTCCACTTCCCCATGGAGATAAGAGGAAATAAACAAGAAGAACTAGAAAGAAAATAGAGCAATACCCAGAGAGGCGTGTATATACAGTGGACCCCCGGATAACGATATTTTTTCATTCCAGAAGTATGTTCAGGTGCCAGTACTGACCGAATTTGTTCCCATAAGGAATATTGTGAAGTAGATTAGTCCATTTCAGACCCCCAAACATACACGTACAAACGCACTTACATAAATACACTTACATAACTGGTCGCATTGGGAGGTGATCGTTAAGCGGGGGTCCACTGTACAGTGGACCCCCGCATAGCGACCTTAATCCGTGCAAGAGGGCTGATTGTTATGCGAAATGTTCGGTATGCGAATGAATTTTCCCCATAAGAAATAATGGAAATCAAATTAATCGTGCAAGACACCCAAAAGTATGAAAAAAAAAATTTTACCACATGAAATATACATTTTCCTACACACAAAGAAAAGGATACATGCACAATAGTAGAGTAGTACATGCACAATATATATTGTGCATGTACTACTCTACTAAATGAAGAATAAATGACACTTACCTTTATTGAAGATGCAGCAATGACTGATGAGACACTGTGTCCTGGGAGTGCCTTTTCCTCCTGAGTACTGTAGGTCCTGTTTGGCATTTTCTTCCAGAACAGGCCTTATCACACTGTGTATGCCACTACGATTCTTAAATCTCTCAAACCAACCTTTGCTGGCTTTAAATTCACCAATATGAGCACTAGTTCCAGGCATTTTTCCCTGTTCACCTGGGTGTTAGTCGACTGGTGTGGGTTGCATCCTGGGAGACAAGATTAAGGACCCCAATGGAAATAAGTTAGACAGTCTTCGATGACACTGACTTTTTTGGGTTTTCCTGGGTGGCAAATCCTCTGGGGTTAATTGTTTCTTGGTATTCTCAATAAGCCACACCAACAACGGTGCTACAGCAGCAGCAGCAGCTGACGGTGGTACAGCAGCAACAGACGATGCTACAGCAGCAGCAGACGATGCTACAGCAGCAGCAGACGATGCTACAGCAGCAACAGACGATGCTACAGCAGCAGCAGACGATGCTACAGCAGCAGCAGACGATGCTACAGCAGCAGCAGACGATGCTACAGCAGCAGCAGACGATGCTACAGCAGCAGCAGACGATGCTACTACAACAGCAGCAGACGATGCTACAGCAGCAGCAGACGATGCTACAGCAGCAGCAGACGATGCTACAGCAGCAGCAGCAGCTGACGGTGGTACAACAGCAGCAGCAGCTGACAGTGCAGCAGCAGCTGACGGTGGTACAGCAGCAGCTGTACCACCAATAGTAGCGATGGTTGATTGGGGTTTATTATACAACCTGGCCAGCTCGGAGACACGCACTCCACTTTCATACTTATCAATGATCTTTTTCTTCATCTGTATAGTAATTCTCACCCTTATTGCTGTAGGGTTGGCACTAGAAGCTTTCTTGGGGGCCATGGTCACTTATTTTCCAGAAAAAATCACCAAAAACACTGTAATAATACGAAATGTTCCGATTGTATGCTTGGATGTTACCGCAGAGGCTGGCTGGTAAACAATGCCACCGGCGGAACTTGTGAGCGTGGCTCAGGCCGCACATTGGACGCATCTCGGACGAAGGGCGGTGAGTGGGTTTTTGGGTGGTATGCGAGGCAAAATTTTTGCGAAAAAAGCGAGCGGTATGCGGATTGTACGGTATGCAATGCGTGCGGTATGCGGGGGTCCACTGTATATGCTTGTACATGTATGTGTAGTGTGATCTAAGTGCAAGTAGAAGTAGCAAGACATACCTGAAATCTTGCATGTTTATGAGACAGACAAAAGACACACGCAATCCTACCATCAAGTAAAACAATTACAGGGTTTCATTGTACACTCACTTGGCAGGAACGGTAGTGCCTCCCTGGGTGGTTGCTGTTTACCAACCTACTACCTAGTACACACAAATATAATTATCAGAATATCAAATGTGTAATAACTTTAAAACACTTGAAATTTTGGAAAGTTCCCAGACATAATGGAGATGCAGAACTCGTGGATGATGAAAACAAACAGTAGCGTGCAGTGACTGTATTAGCGATTCGTGTGGTTTGGGGGGGGGCGTATAAAGAGTCTTGTTTATAATTTTAAATGTCCATATTGGCGAAATGCCATAAAGCGTGGCCTTACTGTACTTAAAGTAGAAGACTGTTGGGAAACACATGGGGATTCACAAGGCATTTACTAGCCCTCTTCCTAAGCTCTGCCATGTCAGTAAGCAATGTTAGTGATCATTTATATGGAGCACAAATAGCTGTCAATAATACTCACTGTCTCACAATACTTAATCACTAGATACCACCACTATTTCAGCAACATGGACCAAACGAGCTTTTCCTTTCATGTGACCTATGAGCCTTACTAGAGGCACAGTTTGTCTATCACTGTCCTCTAGCTTGGAGGAATAAGTACATACTACATATTCAACTACTGTTCACAATCAGCATAAAGTCTTTCTATGAAAGTTAAATGCAGATGACTGGTACTAATAGCAGGCACAACTGTCACAGACATCCAAGGAGCCTTTCATTTTTCACTCTGACACAGGTGTATCAAAGAGAAAAATGAAAGGATAACTTGTACAAGTCTATGAACAGGTTATAATTTTTTAACTTCTTTGAAGGAACATATCATAAAACATTTCTGAGAGTATTAAGACAGAAATCAGTGGTACTGTTAGTTGCATTGGATTTGGAGACACCAGAATCAAATATACAATATTTTATCACCTATAAGTTATCAGATGATTAATAATTTAAAAGAGCAGGAAAATGCAAACGAGAAAAAACTATATTCCTTGTTACAAAAATCACAAACCAAAAATTATGATACATGTATCAGTATTTGCTTCTGAACAAAAATCTTACCTGATAACCAACTAACTTTCCCAGCTGCCAACCACGTTCTTTACATACTCGACTAGCCAAGGAAATGGCTGCTATCCTGCGAGGCTGTGTAACCACAATATTGCAATGGCGATTTTTCTCCACAGCTTCATCAAGAATGAACTGAGGGACTTGTGTTGACTTTCCACTCCCAGTTTCTCCCTTAATTACCACAACCCGATTCTGAGCAATTTTTGCTAGGATCTAGAACAGGAAGAAATATTACACAAAAGTTAACTTTTTATTTACTTCTAGTAAAATAAGTTACATAATAGTAAAAAACTTAATGCACCTTGCAGAAACAAGCAAAAGTACATAAAAAGAAATATTGTAGCTAGCAGAATTCAAACCCACGTTGGACGCTGTCCACTAGTGTTGCTTAGCTCTCAACATGACTCTTTAAACCACTCTGCTACAGATGCCTCAATGTTAGGTAGCCTGACTAACAGCCATGTTTCTTCCTAATGCCAAGCACATCAGTGTCCCTCAAGCACTGTCTCCAGCTATTTCAATCTCCTCCTGTATGTTCTGGCCTCACGAGCAATACCAAAATGCACTTTGTATATATACTTTCATTTGTTTCGGCAAAGAAATATTGCAGCCTGCAGTCAAGCAGGCTACCTAACATTATGAGGTGTCTGTAGCCGAGTGGTTTAAGGCATCATGTTGGAAACTAAGCCACACTCGTGGACAGTGTCTAATGCAGGTTCAAATCCTGCTGGCTGCGATATTTCTTTGCACATTAGTAATAAAGTGAACTAAGAAATATTGCACAAATGTGGAGTATGTGCTAGTGAATTACACTAACAGTTACAGTGGACATTTTTGGAATACCTGGAGATCAAGGCAGTTAGATGCCATTTGTGGGGAAAATTTGACAATGAATAGAAGCATGGACCTTGCTTGACAATGAGAAATAATGGGGGCACAAACAATGTTTGACAACAGTCCATTGTTACTAAGGATCTATTTACTTCAAATCAAACAAATGTTGAGGATATACATATATGGGATAACAGGTCTCTTTATGCTTGATCTATCTTCTCAAAAGACAAGAAATACAGACAAAATAGAAAGAGCAACATTTCTTTCATACTGTGTCCAAGTTACTTGCCTCTTTCTGAACATCAAAAATTGGAAGTGCTAACTCTTGGTCTTTTGTACTGAAGTCATAATGCAAGTAAACTTGTGTCTTGTGTGCATCCTCATCAATGTCACGGTCATCGTCATCACCATCAGAGTCTGTTCTTGAATCTGTATTTTCCTCTAAAGACATTACCCATGGACACTTTTTTCTGCCAGTGGTGTGGTCTGCATTCTTTATTATCTGATAAAAATCAAATACATGCAATTATTATATTTAACCCTTACAGTGTCGAGACCACTGATCCTTAACTCACTATTGAAAAATTAAAAAATATATATAAAAAAAAAAAAAATTCTTAAGAAATGATAGAGAATCTTTTCCCAATGGTAATGACACCAAATGTACAAAATTTGATGGAAAACTTACAAAATTACACTTTCGCAAAGTTAGCGATCTATTTTCAGCCAATTCCATTGTTCAATTTCACTAAAATCACACCTATTTCTTTAAACTCTGTTTGTTCTATCACCCGAGTACAAGAAACCGCCCATTTACCAATTTCAACTACCCACTAAAGTGGTCAGAAATTGGCAATTTGGCCAATATAACACAAATTTCTAAAGATTTCAATTTCAAAATAGGGTCCAGAATAAACAAGGCAGACATTCCTGGCACTAAAATAACATTTTCTCTGTTCATTAGTCACATCTCCAAGCCCCTCGTATATTACTCTTGCTTTCCATTTTGAATTTTCATTCTCGCAATAGAAGATTTACTGTTATGCATTACTGTAACAATTGTATAAATAATGTCAACCCATTTGTGACTGTGTATTAGACTGGCCAGTTGGACACATAATGGAAGGTGACATTAATTTTTTACTCTTGAACATCTGAAAAACTCGAACATTTCTGCTACTTTGAGCTCAATTTCAAGGTACTTTTAATTGTGAAACCAATCAAAATCATCTCCATTTCTGTAATGTATCTTCCATTCTATTAACCCTTTCAGGGTCCGTCCCGTAGATCTATGGCTTTACGATCAGGGTCCAAACCGTAGATCTACGCCAAAATTCTAGCGCCGTCAAATTTAGTGCGAGAAGGCTGGTAGGCCTACATCTGAGAGAATGGGTCTGGGTGGTCAGTGTGCACACCATAGAAAAAATCTGGACGCCCGCATGGCATTGTGGGAACCCCGGCAAAGTAGCTTTGTTCATCATGCCTGGCGGCAAGGAAGGTCTCACTCCCACTCACTCTCCTGGCAAATTCTGACTCTCCTCTTCACAACTTACTGTTCTAAGACTGATGGAAGTGGAGCTGAAGACGAATTCTATGGTTTTGAACCATATGGTACCATTGTGCCATATGGTACAACGGTACCATATAGTACAATGGTGCCATGTCATACATTGGTATCCTATGGTACAATGGTATCATATGGTAGAGTGGTACCATATGGTACAATGTACCATATAACACATTGTACCATATGGTACATTATACCATATGGTACAGGGTACAGGGACCCTAATGGAAATAAGTCTGACTTTTTTGGGTTATCCTAGGTTCTCCAAACATATGCTGCTAAGTATGATATTCTATGTAACTTTATTTGTGTATAACTAAACAAACTTACTTATGATGCCACATGCACTTGAATAAGTTTATTCAGGTGTACAGAAATGCAATTACATATAGATTATCATACATAGCAGTATACGTATAAAATCCTAGGATAACCCAAAAAGGCCAGGGTGACTTATGTCCATAGTTATCCCTGTATCTGTACCATATGGTGTCCTGTGCTGTGTGGTACCCTGTACCATATGGTACCCTGCACCATATGTTATCCTGTACTGCATGGTACTGTAACATATGATACCGTGTACCATATGGTCAATAGGTGTTGGTGGCATGAGGCACCAGCCAAGACTGAGTGAGTGGCGACACAAGCTAGCTACTGACTCCCCAGTTTCGGAGACAAAGTGCTTTGTCATCCACCTCAAGGAACATGTAAAGTTCCTGTACACTTGTAAATATATAATAGAACATTACTAATATACAACATTTTTGCATATTTTTTGTTGTAAACAACTATTGTAAACAAAATAATGAAAATATTAGTGTGTTTATTGTGTTGAATACAACATCACCATATGGTACAATGAAGCATATGGTATCATTGTACTGTATGGTACAATGAACCATATGGTACATTAACATATGGTACCCAAAGTACCATTGTACCAAAATTCCATTGGTCCATAGGTACCCTTGTACATGTGCCATTGTACCATATGGTACCATTTTATCATATGGTGCCATTGTACCATATGGTACAATTGCACCCTTTGGCACCATTGTACCACATGGTACTATATGGTACCATTGTATTCAACCCAAAAAAACCCACTATATTTCCATTGTTTATTTATTTATTTTTTAAAAATTGACACAATTTTTCGGAGGTTAAACAAAAAAGGTAGACATATCCCAAACACTTATATATGCTCAAGCAAATTTTTAAAAAAAAACTTGAAAAAAGGTTAACAAAAATAATAAAAAAAAATGGCATTTTGGGAATCACTGAGTTGCACAACATTCATTTTGGGGCCTTTCCGCCCTGTTTTGGAAAAAAATAGACAAGAAAAAAAAAAGTATAAAAAAAAGTAAAATAAAAAAATGGGATTTTGCGGAAGTCACTGATGTTGCCGCCACCCGGTCATTTTGGGTCAACTTCCTGCCGCTGTATCTCGGTAAGTACTGATCAGAAAAAAAAAAATTGTCTTATTACCTTCACAAAAATATACTCTTTAATTCTGTAAGAAAAAAATTTTTTCTTTTTCAAAATTTCTTGGATATTGGGGCACCACTTCAGATTTTGGCCTTGGACCCTGAAGGAGTTAAATGAGATCAAGAAAATGAAAATACAACCATAAATACAGATCCTCCATCACAAATCCGGCATCATTGGGACATGTAGTGTGACGGATTACTGAGTTTGCTGGATTACAGAGTGATTAGGTTAGAATACATCTAATAAAATTAACCAACTTGACTTACGCAGTTCATTGAACATCGGCAAAAATCGAACATTCCCGCTATTTGAGCTCAATTTCAAGGTACTTTTCATCATGAAAGCAATCAAAATCATCTCTATTTCTGTAATATATCTTCCATTCTATCATATGAGACCAAAAAACCATACGACAACTATAAAAACCATACAAAAATATACTGCAAAGAGGCGGCTAATGGCTGAGAAGTGAACTCCCTTATTTATCATCCGTCTTTTTATTTTTGGTGTACATTAAGAAGCATCTTTCCATCATACACTGCCCAAGTTTCAATGAGAAAGCCCAACAAACAACTGAGAAATAAACAACATTTACCAAAAATCATGGCAAGCCCAAGCCAGGTACTGGAAATAAGTCACTTTGTCTGACTTTTTTGGGTTATCCTAGGTTCGCTATACATATGCTATTATGTATGATAATCTATGTAACTGTATTTGTGTATAGTACCTGAATAAACTTATTTACTTCTAGTCTGTCAACTGCGTACAAGAAACCGCCCATTCACCTATTTCAACTACCCAATAAAGTGGTCAGAAAATGGCAATTTGGCCAATTTCACAGATGCCAATTTTAAAATTAGGTCCAGAATAGACCATGCAGACATTCCTGGCACTAAAATAACATTTTCTCTGTTCATTAATCACGGCTACAGGCCCCTCTTATATTACTCTTGCTTACCATATGGAATTTTTATTCACACAAAAAAAATAGAAGATTTACTGTTATGCAGACTACTGCATTATTGTCATAATTGTACAAATAATGTCAACCCATTCTTGACTATGTATTAAAATTTGGACTGGTAGGAGGACAGGTATTGGACGGTGACATCATTTGTTTACTCTTGAGCATCACTAAAGAATAGAACTTTTCTGCTACTGTGAGCTCAATTTCAAGGTACTTTTTGTCATGAAAGCAATCAAAATCATATCTATTTCTGTAATATATCTTCCATTCTATCAAATGAGACTGAAAAAAACAAGAATATAACCATAGAAAACATACAAAAATATACTGCTAACCGGTCACTAATTTATGGTCTGATTTCTTTCATTTTTGGTGTATGCTCAAAATTCAAATTCAAAGTTTATTCTCTATAAGGATTACAATGCTGAGTTTACAGAATTTGGTTATTGTGTGGTTTACATGAGTAAAATAATAATTACAGAGTGTACCACTAGAACCCCTAGCATGGCTAGGCATTTCGGGCAGACTTAAATTAAATCTTAAGTTTAAAATATTACAAAATTATGAGGTAAGTTGGTATTATGGCTAAGTGACTAACTACTAGTTTGTGAGTTTAGCAATGTGAATGCTTTTGTTTTGGCACTATACATAGTTTCAGTATTGGAGTATCACAGGCCAACTTATGACTAGTTAAGATTCATTATTTGAGATTGAGATTGATATTTCTGTTTATGGTCAAATGGTGTGTTGAGTGAGTGTAAAGTGTTAACCACCAGGTGGTATTCGCATTAAATTAGTTGGACAGGGTGTATCAGGGAGATAATATGTTTTCTGATTGGTAGTTTTGAAAGGTGATGAATGTGTATGCAGTTTTAGAATTTTTCAGGTTAGGGCGTTCCAGATTTTTAGGGCCTTTGACATACATTGAATGTTTGTATAGGGTTAGTCGACACGGGTATGTCATAGAGATGTTTGTGTCTGGTGTTGTGTCTGTGGGTTCTTTGTCACAACTATCAAGAAAACTTTTTAGGTCAGGTTAATATTGGAATTTAAGGTCATGTAGATGTAGATTTGCCACATTAGTAAGTGTGGATTGTACTGACAGGGATTAAGTTTTGATCTATGAAGAGTGGGGTGTGTGTTGCCAGGGATGGGATTTAGTGGATTATTCTGTACTGCGGCTTTTTGTTGGGTTATTATTGGGTTTTGGTGTGTTGCTGCAGTGAACCCCCAAGCACAGAGAGCATAGGAGAGGTTATGGATATATAAGTGAATGGATATAGATGTGAGAAGGGCAGTCTTGCGGCACGTTGTTATATCGTATCTTGGAGAGGAATTCCACCCGTTATGGATTCTTTTTGGTTAGTGTTGGATATGGGTGCTGAAGTTCAGGTTGTTGTCGAGGTTATAGGCTAGGTATTTGCCCTCATTCTGCCTGGCAATTAGAGTGTTGTCAATCTTAATGTTAATTTGGCATCTCCTGCTCTCCACC